ACCTACCATCTTCAAATGACATTAATTTTGTCAAATATGCTGATGACCTAACTGTAACTTTCCCTGTCAAATGTCAAAGGGACTGCAATAAACTAAACGGCTTTTTATTGGAAGTCAGCCAATGGTCCAAGGAAAACGTTCTCACCTTAAACCCCTCCAAATGCCAAACAGTTAATTTCACCCTTAGGCACAAATCTGACCTAAACAAACTGGTTAGCACTCATGAGGTGCGCAACATAGATGGCACTGAAATAGAAACCAAGTCAGAAATTAAATACCTAGGCGTCATTCTATCTGCTGATCTTTCCTGGTCGTCTCATATCTTGATGATTGCTAAGAAAATATTCCGTCTTACCTTCTACATCAAGAAGTTAAGACATTCTGGTATAACCCAACCCTTACTCCTACAATTCGTTAACTCCCGTATTCTGCCTATTATTCTCTATTGTTCCCCCTTAGTTTTTCCTGGGCTACTGAAGAAAGACTATGCCTTATTACGCAGGATGTTAAAGCTTGTCAGCAGGGTAAGCTACGTGCCACTTAACCAGCTTGTTAATATTCTGGTTGACAGGCACATCGACTCATGTGAACAATGGGCAAAATCCATTTTATCTAACTCACAACACCCTCTTCATTCACAACTCTCCCCTTGTATCTCTTCAGGCAAAACCAGAAGCCTATATAGAAAACTATATGCTCGCACTAGTAAGTACAAAAACTCAACCATACCCTAATTAGCTCGTGTTCTGTGCGATAAAGAAGGCATTAAGCGTGAAACATTTAACTTATTAAATAGTCAGTAGAACAACTGGATATCGTCTTTCCAACTCATATCATTTATAGGTACAACGTTTTTCTTTTCCTTTTCTCCCTCTCTTTTTTCTGTTGTGTGCAGCTTTGTTTCTTTCTTCTGCTAACGCCAGTGAATATGCTAGAACCTACTTTTCTAGCACCTTCAAACACTGTTAATTTTGGCTTTGCTACCGACATGCTAATATGTTGTTGTCAAAACTAACTGAGATTACCCTTAATTTATGTAGGATTTTATATTATTGTTAATTTACTAACTGGAGGCAATACTGTAGTAAAATGCTGAGAATTCCATTCTGTATCGCATGTACTGTTTTGGAATAAAGCTATTATCATTATCATTATTATTATTACCAAGACACACTGACAAAGTGAAGGACGAAGCTACAGAGGACACTTTCACTCCAGTCATGACCAAAAGCCACGAGCACACTGACACCCTGTGGCTATCATATACATGCATGTATGTATGCAGGAATGCATGCATAGATAGACATAGATATTGTCAACAACAGCATCGAAGGCTGTCATGCAGTGGGAGTCAGTCAGAGAGTCAGTCAATCTCCTCCATCATCATGACAATCACAAAGATATCCACAAGGCGACGAAGATTTCACCACCTCCACACACGGCACACAGCTACCCACAGAAATTCACACAGACTTCATTCATCTCAATCTGACGAGTGTGGAGATAACTGACTGGACACGAGATGGAGAAGACTAGCAGATGTGGGCTGGCATGACTATTTAGCGCAGGAAACCTTCGGTTTAGAGCCGTGTTTTATGAAGAATATACAGCCAAACACATATTAAAATCTTCTCACACCTGTCTATGAAAGCACAACAAAGACGCTACACATCTGACAACCTACTCAATCTAAGATGCATGTTAAAAAATACTAACTGGGATTTATTCTATGAAAGTTCATTAGATGACTGAATCACCAATATAACGGATTATCTTAAGTTCTGCCTTGATATATGCAGTCCCAAACAAACACTATTCAAACGCTTCGACCGCTTCTCGTCTCCTCATCTCAAACAACTTCGCAGGCAAAATGAAACATTATATAAACTCAAAGATAAGTTAGGACTTAAAAAGGTTTATGCTCAAATCAAATCTGAAATCAAAAATCTTAATGCTATCTATAACCAAACGCTTTTATCATGCAAATCTCCTATCAGCATGTGGAAACTTTTCAATGAAATTACTGGCAATTGTAAGCGATGTAATGTTTTTCCCTCTTATGATGTCAATGTTCTTAATCAGTCTTTTATACGCTCTCCTTCTACCATAACCACTTCTAACGTTACTAATCATGTAGCTGATAACTTCCAGGACTTTAACACTCTCGATGTTTTAAAATGTCTTAAAACTCTTAAGCCCTCATGTAGTCTTGGCCCTGGTGGTATACCTGCATATGTTCTAAAACAATGCGCAGATGCTTTATGTTCTCCTCTAACTAACATCCTAAATGCTTCTTTCTCCGAAAACGTTGTACCTGTTCCATGGAAAGACATCAAAATAGTCCCTGTCCCTAAATCTGGCAACAGCAAGAACGTAAAGTTCAGACCCATTGCCATCACTTCCCCGTTTCTAAAGCTTATGGAAAAACTAGTACTTCTTAAACTCGAACCTTCCCTTAGAAGCTTTGAGGACCCCAAACAATTTGCCTACAGACAGGGTAGGAGTACTTTAGACGCTTCAGCCGTCTTACACAACAGTATCGTCTCATCATTAGATAAAGGTGCCAAATACGTCTGCTGCACATTTCTCGACTTCACTTCTGCTCTCGACTCTGTACCTAGATGTCTCTTGCTAAATAACCTCTCCATGACACAAACTGAGTCCTGAGTCACTAACTGGTTACATTTCTACTTTTCAAACAGAATGCAGTATACAGTATACAAAGGCAAATCCTCCTCTGCTGTGCTCACTGAATCTGGTGTCCCCCAAGGTGCTGTACTTTCCCCACTTCTCTTTTCTTTCCTTCTTTCTACATGACCTACCATCTTCAAATGACATTAATTTTGTCAAATATGCTGATGACCTAACTGTAACTTTCCCTGTCAAATGTCAAAGGGACTGCAATAAACTAAACGGCTTTTTATTGGAAGTCAGCCAATGGTCCAAGGAAAACGGTCTCACCTTAAACCCCTCCAAATGCCAAACAGTTAATTTCACCCTTAGGCACAAATCTGACCTAAACAAACTGGTTAGCACTCACGAGGTGCGCAACATAGATGGCACTGAAATAGAAACCAAGTCAGAAATTAAATACCTAGGCGTCATTCTATCTGCTGATCTTTCCTGGTCGTCTCATATCTTGATGATTGCTAAGAAAATATTCCGTCTTACCTTCTACATCAAGAAGTTAAGACATTCTGGTATAACCCAACCCTTACTCCTACAATTCGTTAACTCCCGTATTCTGCCTATTATTCTCTATTGTTCCCCCTTAGTTTTTCCTGGGCTACTGAAGAAAGACTATGCCTTATTACGCAGGATGTTAAAGCTTGTCAGCAGGGTAAGCTACGTGCCACTTAACCAGCTTGTTAATATTCTGGTTGACAGGCACATCGACTCATGTGAACAATGGGCAAAATCCATTTTATCTAACTCACAACACCCTCTTCATTCACAACTCTCCCCTTGTATCTCTTCAGGCAAAACCAGAAGCCTATATAGAAAACTATATGCTCGCACTAGTAAGTACAAAAACTCAACCATACCCTAATTAGCTCGTGTTCTGTGCGATAAAGAAGGCATTAAGCGTGAAACATTTAACTTATTAAATAGTCAGTAGAACAACTGGATCTCGTCTTTCCAACTCATATCATTTATAGGTACAACGTTTTTCTTTTCCTTTTCTCCCTCTCTTTTTTCTGTTGTGTGCAGCTTTGTTTCTTTCTTCTGCTAACGCCAGTGAATATGCTAGAACCTACTTTTCTAGCACCTTCAAACACTGTTAATTTTGGCTTTGCTACCGACATGCTAATATGTTGTTGTCAAAACTAACTGAGATTACCCTTAATTTATGTAGGATTTTATATTATTTTTAATTTACTAACTGGAGGCAATACTGTAGTAAAATGCTGAGAATTCCATTCTGTATCGCATGTACTGTTTGGAATAAAGCTATTATCATTATCATTATTATTATTACCAAGACACACTGACAAAGTGAAGGACGAAGCTACAGAGGACACTTTCACTCCAGTCATGACCAAAAGCCACGAGCACACTGACACCCTGTGGCTATCATATACATGCTGGTGGGTGCATTGTTCTATGTATATATATATATATATATATATATATATATATATATATATATATATATATATATATGAAAGTGTATATAGGACACTTGTTGAGAGTTTTGGATGTTTGGCGGCGCGCAGCTGATATGAATGGTCGGCCGGTAAAGTTTGGGCTGGCGATATCTATGCCTAAAATTGTATACTTGTACTAAAAATACAGTATGAAATCAAGCTGGAATGAAAAATGGGAATAATATATATATGTTTATGGCGTCAACAACAGCGTCGGTTGCTTGGGTGTGGAATTGGAAACTTTTGTATTTGAGGCCTCAGTAATACGTACTCCGAATTCTTCTGACGCTCGTTATTGTGTTTAGATGTTGATGTCGTATACCTTGAAGTGACTTGTTCTCAGTGGAATATGCGATGAATCTTACCTTGATGATATTGAGTGACCTCTTAGGAATTTTTTCGTCCTTGAATTACTTGGTGATATCAGGGTATACCCAATGCATAGGGAATGTGTTCAGACAAGCAAACATCCAGAGGTTATATGATCATGATTGGTGCACCAAAGAAAGCCAGCTTCTGTCTTAATAAGCTAGTTTACCGAGACAAAATAAAGAGGTCAAATAGGTGGTAGAAGGAAAAGGAAACGGCATTCAATAGTCCAAAGGATTTTTATTACGTGAAAACTGTTTTTAAGTATTTTTGTCAACTTATCTTGAAAAGAGAAACGAAGGAAAAAGGCCGAGAAAAAAAACGGTTTTGTCTTTACTGTGTCGGACCAAAAGAGTTTGCATAGAGAGAAAACAAGTTAACAAAACAAGGGAAAACAGACACCACTTGTTGGTCTTTAATTAAGTAGGCGATAGTTTGACAATAATTAATATATTTAGGGGATATACCTGTATGCTGATATATATATATATATATATATATATAAATTATTTTTATGGCTTATGGTATTTAACGTATCAGTCGCATTATTTCAGGCGGAAATCGGCCAAGATTTGAACTCTTTATCATTTTATCCCTATTTTATATTGTTTTACCACAGTGGTATATATATATAATACATTGCGATAATAGTCATGACAGAACTCAGAGGGAACAATGAAAGATTGCGATACATATGTATGTATATTCCAAAGACGTAACCTTGAGGAAGTTCTCCCTCAATGAAAATAAGAACAAAAATGAAAGTGGTAGGAAGAACACGGAAGCAAAGAAATCAGTGGGGAAAAATCAATATATATATATATATATATATATATGCAAAAGAAGTGCAATGACAACAACACAGAAAAACATAAGAGTAATAACATACGAATGCATGTTAGTGCTCGTTGACCACATTGAGCTATTTATTCACTGAATAGTTGCAATTATTGTGCCCAATTTAAAAAAAACGCAAACAAATAAGAATTCATTGCACAAGTACAACTTTTATTACAGATATCTAATACTGGAACGTTGATTGTATTACAAGTTTACGTATGTATGAGTGAATGAAAAGCTTTCAAATTTAAAGATCTAATTGTCATATACGATGGAAATATAATCATCATCAGCTTCAAATAGACAAAACGAGAGAAAGAGAGAGAGAATTCAGTTCCTAACTTGGTCCAAAAAAGAAACGATCACAAATCTAGTGAGTAGTGAGTCATCAGTTGATTTCTAGCGGCAAAAATAATTAGTTAGTGTATATGTATGTGTCTGGTTGTGTGGGTGTTCGACAGAAAAAGCTACTACAAGACGAGAAGAAATGCACGCCTAGTAGAAACCAAGAAGAAAGATTCGTTGATGGATAAACATGAATTCGGCATAAAAATTCAATGAATGCCGTATCACTTGTTGGTGAAAGACTGCATTCATTATTGACCAGTAATTAACTAACATCCAGAATATAGATTAGTATAATACTCATTGTGGAAAAGCATGATTTTATAGTCAATCGAAAAGATACATGATCAAGAAACAAAAAAGAAACGAATTGCTACAACAGCCAAAATATAACAGTAATATAACAGTGAGCAAGTATACATTGCAATATAAAACCACAAAAAGTGGGTGTGTGGGGTAGAAATAAGAAGAAAGAAAGAAAGAAAACAGGGTAAAAAACAGTTGGTTTATTTATGAACGAGGGATGTTATGAGCATGATGCTGTACAGTGGTAAAGTATCCATCTCCTCCAACACTGTGAATTTGATTCAGACTATTACTGTTGGTACCACTATTATTGTTGTTTGAATACGGGTCATATCCTGAATTTGAATGTGTACGTTGTTCAAAAGACAACTTAGTATTATTGCTGTTGTATAATTCATGTATGCATATATCACAGGTCCAATGGGTATCAGGACTACGAGGTAAACGAGATCGAAGACAGTGTGCATGGAATACACGATCACAATCCCAACAAAATATCATACGATCCTAAAGTATAAGAGAAAATTCCAAATCAATAAAATAAAATCGTACTTTACTCGTTAAAAAAAAGTACTATCACCCTACCGAGGATACAATCGATGATACTTCAGCTACGCGATGAGACCATTGACCATCGACCCACTGGGAGATAATCTAGTGGCCAAAGGATTTTAACTCCTACATAGCCATGACACGTATAACGCTATTGTCATATTGGTTGTTGGTGACGCTTCATATTCTGACAATCAGCGGAGGCTGGAATTCAATGACTGATTGAATTCAGTGGTTGAACAATCAAAGGGGCCTACCTCGTAACCTGAATGTTTTGGACTCAATCACCAATGAAACCAATCCGAAATCCTTCAATTTAATACCTAAAGACTTTATAATATGTTCACAGTTCGAAGAAATAAACTATTTTCATTCCACCCTACGAAAAAGTATCCCCATGTAATTATTGTGACCAGGATAAATCCTGAATTATGTATGGCTCTTTAAACTGCTGACCATCCCATAAACCAAATAAAATGAAGGATTTTACTGATCAACAACAATCACTAATTTTTATAAGCTTCGTTGTTATGTCCAACCATCTAATCTTTATTGTCGAGACAGTGAGGAAGACTTCTATTGATGTGAAAGTCTGCAGCAACCTGTTGGAAATGCTACTGGTGATGAACACGTCAATCGCTGGACCACAGAGGTGCTTCTACGGACTTGGCATAAAGGTTAAAAACTCAGATCCTTGTGATGAATAGTGTATACCTCAACACAGATCTCAGAGAGTAAAAAACGCCTGTCTTGCTTACCCTATTTATCCTGACTGGTTTCATCAATATGTGTATCCATGCTGCCACCTGTAGTTTAAACAATGCTGTCTAGGTTAATTAAATGGAGGAGACGACTTCCTTTAGATTTCTGTCCATCGTTACTATAACTTCAAAGTATATGAAATCTCAGTAGACAGTTGCTTTCAAATGAGGACTTTTAACAAATAAATCATAAAAACAAATGAAGTCACAGAGATGCATAAAAGAAAGCAGACTAATTCTCATTACGTACCTCTTGATCACCTTGATCACATAACCAACATGTTTTACATCCTATACACTGCCATGGATAACGTACAGCAGCTTCAATTACGTGTGGCGATAAGCGTAGACATGTATAATGACCATAATGTCCACATCTGGAACAATGTAGCATACCTTCTGAGTGACCTATACGTGGATTTATTGCCTCGCTGCCTAGACAATAATCGCATATGGGAACTGATGATAACGCAGTTGTGGTTGAAGAAGTTGACGGGTTAACAGATGACCGTACTAAACCACCAAGTCGTCTACTATCACGACAGTTTTGTCTTTCATAACGTCTTTGTTGTGGACTGATACGATTAAATGTTATTGAAGGGTGTTGTTGTTGTGGTGTTAGTGGTTGAGACAGTGCGGGAAACGAATTATAGTTACTTGGAATACTAGAAGTGGTGGAGACTACGGAAGAAGAAGAAGAAGACGTATAGGCTAATTGATTATAACTAAGATGTTGAGAATTCCACCAGTTGCCATGTGGAGATGGTTTCATTGACGATGCATAAGAATGAGGAGGATGAGAGGAATACGGGAACTGTGGATGACATCTACTATGACTATTATTATTGCTGACAGTAGTAGTGTCAGCAGTATTATTATTACTGAAATGCATTTCAGAGGAAGAATTTATTAATGATAAATGTGAACTGTTGTGCTGTTGTACAGGAGGAGGAATATTTGAATGTGGTATGTGACCAGCACCAACCCCACTGCCACCACTACTACTATTGTTGCTACTACCACCACCACCACCGCTATAACTGTTAGTATTATAGTCCATTATTTGATATCTTGATGGCGCTATGGCGCTATTATTCATAATTATTAATGAATTGGGTGTAGTAGTCACTGATGATAGAGAACACTGAGATAAACAATCCCCACTAGCGTTATTATTATTATTATTCTTCATGAAAGTTGAAGACTTTTTAATTATCACAGGTCGCATGAAATTAATATTATTGATGTCTAACTCATTGTCATCTGCTGGTTCAGTTGAATTGAAATGATGATTAGCTGGCATATTCTCCTCCTCTTTATAATATTTCAACGATGCTTGATGATTTACAATTAAATTCTCAACTAGCTTAGGTTCAACAATCATCATCGATCTAGAAGAGTCTGTCGTCAGTGGTTTACAATCCATACGATTCACTGTACTAACAGTGTGTTGTCCACGTTTACTCATTTGAGATGATGACAATGGTGGTGAATAGGCAGAATTTGAAGATTGACTAGCGACTTCTTGAACAATTAAATATGAAAAAAGAAAAGAAAATTAAGTGAAAAACAAAAAAGGTTGAAAGAAAAACTAGAAATCTTAAGTTTCCTATGACATGCATGAAATAGCTCCCCCCAAATACTAATTAATACCAGCAAAATTATGGTGTTTCACACTTGCTTCCACCACCATGATTACTATCTCTATCTATGATCACATTTTTATTGATCTGAATGTTTTACACATATTAAAAGCAAGTTCACCTCACAGGATGTGAAATTTGAAAATGACAAATTTGACTAATATGTATGTGTCAGTTCATCATCAGAAGTCGTTATAATCAGAACCCAAAAAGGTGGTTTGTGAACTAATTCAGCTATTTCTCATATGAAACACTAATCCTTGATGATGACGTTCAAATCTCAAAGAAGCGAGGTGATCATCTCTGGTGGTGTTTTGATTTGCACGAGTTCAATTAATTAACTACGCAGCAACTTCTTTTATCCGCCCTCCAAATGTTCCTTTTTGCCTTCAATTTAACTAATAACACGACCAGTGACTTTCATAGTTTCAATACTTCTGATGTTCTTAAATGTTTGAAATCTCTTAAACCTTCCCAGAGTCTAGGCCCTGATGGTATACCTGCCATTGTTTTAAAGAAATGTGCTGATATTTTAAGTAACCCACTTACAAGCATTTTCAATACTTCTTTTTCTAATAATGTTGTACCTTCTCTGTGGAAAGATATTAAAATCATCCCTGTACCCAAGTCTGGTTCTGGAGATAGTGTTAAGTTTAGACCAATTGCCATTACCTCTCCTTTTTTGAAACTGATGGAGAAATTACTGTTACAAAAACTCATTCCCTCCCTAAGCTTCTCAAACGATCCAAAGCAGTTTGCTTACAAACAGGGTAGAAGTACTTTGGATGCTGCTGCTGTGTTTCATCACAACATTGTATCCTCCTTAGACAAAGGGGCCAAGTATGTCCGTTGTACTTTCCTTGATTACACATCTGCTTTTGACTCTGTACCTAGAGGCCTTTTGTTAAACAAGCTTAGCCTTACACAAACTGAGTCCTGGGCTATCAACTGGCTGCACTCTTACTTCTCCAATAGGATGCAGTACACGGTATATAATGGTGTAGCTTCCTCTCCTTTGCTTACTGAAGCTGGTGTTCCTCAGGGTGCTGTTCTCTCGCCGTTTCTCTTTTCCTTCTTCTTACATGACTTACCTCTCTCAGACGAAATCAACTTCGTCAAATATGCAGATGACCTGACTGTTTCGCTTCCCGTTAAGTCTCAGTCAGACTGCTTCAAATTAAATAGCTTCCTGTCGGACATCAGTCAGTGGTCTAAACTAAATGGCCTAACGCTGAATCCCTCAAAATGCCAGACTGTCGACTTCTCCTTTAGGCATAAACGAGATCTACAAACACTAGTAAGCACTCATGATGTCTGTAGAATTGAGGGGACTATAATTGAAACAAAGTCTAATGCAAAATACCTCGGATTAGTTATATCTTCCGACCTTACTTGGTCATCTCATATCCAAATGATTTCCAAGAAAGTGTTTCGTCTAACCTACTACATTAAGAAACTCAGACTAACTGGAGTCCCTCAACCTCTGCTTTCACAATTTGTCAACTCTCGTATCCTACCTATTCTACTTTACTGTTCCCCGTTAGTCTTTCCTGGGTTACTGAAAAAGGACTATACCATCCTGAGAAGGATGTTGAAGGTAGTTAGTAGGACTAGCGGTGTAAAACTCAGTCAGCTCGTCACAACATTAGTGGATAAGCATCTGAATACATGCGAGAAATGGTCTAAAACCATACTCTCTGACCCCCAACACCCCTCTATTCCCAACTCTCTCCTTGCATCTCATCAGGTAGAACCAGAAATCAGTACAAAATAATATATGCTCGTACAACCAAGTATAGGAACTCAACGATACCATATTTGGCCCGTGTTCTAAGTGACAGAGACAATGTTAAGCGTGAAACCTATGACTTGCTTTGTTGTTAATAACATAATTTTGGCCCTTGTTATTTCACCCTTATACTCTCTAGTGAACAACCTTCTTAAACATACTTAGCTGCTTAAAATTATTATCATTGGCTTACTTTTTATTCTTTATTCTATTCCTTCTTTTGTATATCTACTGGGTCCGACTATATTATCACTATGATTATTAAAAATTCGTCATTAACCATCATGTAATATTAATTTTTGTGGTTGTTCTTTGTTCGGCACTATTTAACTGACAATCTTGTTTGTGAACGCCACTATCACCATCTTAAAAATTTTGTATTATGCATGATTCCTCACACTACCACAACAAACACTGCATTAGTGCTGACAATAAAAATAAAAAACCTGAAATGTTTATTTTATGATTGTTTAGTGTTGTTCAATCAAATTAACTGATCATCTTGGCTATAAACATTCTTAAGAACATCTCATAATTTCTTGTATGATTATAGCTGTTACTGTTCACCACGCATACACATATCATAGCTTCCACTACCCAATACTGAAATATTTTTTCATTATTGGTGTATATCTTCCTTTCTATTTGGTATTTTTATTTGCATTTTTTTCTTTTGGTTTTTTGTTTTTGTTTTTTCTTTATTTTTTATACATATTATTTTTGTAATACTCCTTTTAAATGTACGATGAAATTAGATGCAATATTGTAGATATGTGCTGAAAATTCCACACTGTACCACAAGTACTGTTTCTGGAATAAAAGCGAAATTATTATGATTATTATTAACAGATCAACACTTCAACATTTATACATTGTTTGTGTTCGTAAATGATTAAAAAAAATAAAGACATCTTGAAATTTTTGGAACTCATGACCAGTCTGACCAGATGCTAAGATGAATATCTATTCACCGAGGTGTAGCCAATCGAAGATAGTTAAATGGCAAAGATTAGAATTCATGAAACATTCGATTTCCTCAGACAAGGCCGATTAGAAACCAAAAACCACATATCGCGAAATTCTCCCAGGACACGAATACAAAAGAATAAACAAGAAGAAGTATAAAAAATTATTACTTTTTATGATTATTCATTTGAGTTCCGAGTAGAACATGGGGCGGCTTCAGCAACACCTCTCTCCACTTTCTTCTACTCTCTACGATCCTATTCAGCTGAGTCGACGATTGTCCATAATTTCTCATCTCCTCCATGTCACCCTAGGACGACGACCCACTCTTCGCTTCCCATTTGGAATCCACTCGAGCAATGGCCTGGCGTGCAATGTCATTCAACGGCCCCTTTCAATGTTATGCTCTATCCATGTCCATTTTCTCCTACACAAATTCATTCGTTGAGCAATCGGCTCTTGCCTGTCGTCGGTTTGTTACCCAGAGTTTCTTGTTGCTTATTCTTTCTGGCCGGCCATTTGATTTTTGAGTATGGAGCCAAGGAAGGCAGCTGTTGATGAGAGTTTGCATCAGGCTGTTGGAAATCCTTTTCGTGAAACACAACACAGTGCTGCAAGTTTCTGACTCATATAGAATCACTGACCGACTTGACATTGGCGTGTTGAAAATGCGAATCTTGTTCCTTATGTTGTGAATGTGAAAGATTTCCAAACTGGTTTTTCAGGTCAGCGAAAGCTCGAGCTGCTTTCGCTGACTTACACCATCTCTGGCGTAGGCGTGACATCCGGCTATCAACCAACCAAGGGACGTGTGTACTGCTCAGCAGTTCGCTCCGTCCTTCTCTATGGCTCTGAAACATGGCCAATACAAGTTGAAGACATGAAAAGGTTGACTGCTTTCGATCATAGATGTCTGCGATCTCTGTCTCACGTTAGGTGGTTCAATAAGGTAAGTAGTGTTGACGTTAGGCGTAGAGTGTTGGGCAAAGAGGGAAAATCAATCGATGAGGCTATAAAGTTACATAGACTAAGATGGCTAGGTCACGTGCTGCGCATGCCTAACCACCGCCTCCCCCGACGGGCATTGCTAGCTGATATAGGTGAAGGTTGGAAAAGAGCCAGTGGTGGCCAAACAAAAACATGACGGCATCAATCCATGAAATCCTTAACAGTTAAACTGAGTCAGGTAGGGAGATGTAGACTCCTGGGTTGGGGCCCTCGGGACTCTAGGAATCAATGGCTGGAGACAATACGTGACATGGCCCAAAGTGATCGTTGTCAATGGCCAGCGCAGATGTATTCAGTCTCTGTAATCTTTCATATTCCTTTCTACCATTACCCATACTGTTTCACTCTTATACTTGTCAAACTCTATTGATTCTCTTCACTCATCTTCTTGTCTACCTTTGTGTGCTATTTGAAACGTGGCAACTCGAACTGCTGCACTTCGGTGCCAAGTTCTATGTTGAATCCAGACAGACAGGTTGATGAAGGCGTATCTCTTGCCTCTCCAATTGTGACTTTGACATCTTCATCCGTCCTGACCGCCCACCCGCCTGCTCACCTGTAGTTGGTACGATGCTTCCCAGCTGGATAAGTGAAGGAGGTGACCTCTCTTAAGTCTCTCTCGTTGGTGGTGACTGATCCTGGTTGTTGTTGTTGTTGTTGCTGACACGTGGCATTGTCATTCTTATATAGCGAGCTGTTGAATGAGGTTGACAGAGAGACTTTAGGTACCTCATGGTGTTGAAGTATTTTCCAAATTATGTCTCGGTCAATGCTGTCGTAGCCCCATTTCGAAATCGATGAAGTAGTGGTAGAAGTTTGACTGCCACCCTGTACTTTGTGCGATGACACGATATGTAGAGCTGCAATTTGATCAGCACATGATTGATTTTCTTATCTTGAATCCTGCTTGTGTTCCAGTTGGGTGGAGTTCTGTATCCAGTGCATCCTTTATTCTCCTTCCAGGATGATGATGTGACTGAGTATTTTAGTTGGCGTGGGCGCAAGAGCATTATAATCCACACCAGTTTTCTTGCAGACGCCTAGGTTGCCCTTCCTTTCTTGAACAGCCTTTCTTCCTATCTCGGTAGGTACCTTTCCTTCTTTCCAAAACTTTTACAATAATGGCGTGAGTGTACATCTGCAATGCTTTAGAGGGGGGGGAGGGAATTCCATCTGGGCCTGCTGCCTTCCTGGACTTCAGTAGTTTTGATAGCATTTAGTAGTAGCTAAGGGCAGAGCAGAGCTAGACGACTTTGATGTGGTTGTGTTCATTGAGCTGGATAATTGATTTTGCGAAGCTTTCATCGCCCTACCACGCGACATCTTCAGCGCATACTTTAATTTGATGTACTTCATACTTCGCAAATCAATTATCCAACTCAGCGAACACACACACCACATCAAAATCATCCACCTGAACTAAAAAAATTCTTCTCTATCATATATCTGAAGCTAAACGAGGCGAATAGACAGCTTTCAATGTACTATAGTGTCATGTACCACAAAGAACTTCATGACAGTTCAATCAAGGTTATGTAACAGGATGAATGCAGAGTGTTGGTTGTTCCACCGTTACACCCTGATTCTATATTTACGGTCCTCCTCCATGGTACTTACTTCACCCAAAAATCAAATAAAGTGAAGGTGGGGTTTCGGATTGTTTGCGTAACACTCTTTGAACGCATTGACACATCAAGATCTATCATATACACTACAGAAGACTTAATCCCGTTTACTGTTACATCTTCACAGCAAATCGGTAGCCGTATCCCTAGAATCTGACAGAGATATGCATACAATTCAAAGTGTAAAAAAAGGCTTGTTTGAGACTGTGGTGGCGGGTGTAAACTGTGTTTCCTTTTGATGACCGAACGATAACATCTTGACGGAGCCTACCTACCTGGTGAGTGGCATTTAATATCATATTCCTTCGGTGTATGTAATATTATTCCTCTCGTACAAACTTTGAATTGACAAAAAGACTGTGCAACACTAGGTAGTGAATATGAAAGTGATAACTGTCTCGTATACTTCAGTAAATAGCGAAACTGCACTAAGTTCTGTGTAACAAATAAGTGAGTTTGTGAGGACATGGTATAGAAACCATAGACAACTAAAGTGTTTATGGCATTGGTGGTTAGGACACTCGCCAACCATGCACATGGTCCGAGGGATTCGATCCCCGGCCACCGACGCAAACCTGACATGAACTTGTCGGACTGCAAAATTTTGGGTCACCGATATCACATGCTGAAAATTTCATACTTGTACCAAAAAATGTAATGTGTGAAATCAAGAGCTATCATCAAAAGAAAAAAAATATATATAGACCTTCATTCATATTGACGCTTTTAAATTTTTACCTTAACTCATGTCAAATGAAAAATCTCAAACCAGAAGACAACTGCTGTCTATCTGTCTGGTCCCCCATTTCAAATTCGACAGGATTCAGTTACTCTAGTATGCGCTAAACTAGGCAGTATGTTAATTTTCTCAAACTGGTTGAGAGATCAATCTTTAGTTTTCTTGTAGGAAAGATTCAACAGGTTTTGTACGGAAAAAATTGGGCCAAATATACCGTATTACTCAGATAGGAAATCAAAGTGTCACGAGATATCTGCTAAGGGCTCGCTCGATTTTAAATAAAATAGACACGCTTGTTTTTCACAACTGTTTATGACAGAGGTATAGATAGAGATTGTACACGATAAACTATTTAAACGGGTAGAGCATATTCATGTCTGTCTGTTTTCGACATAGAACTTTGCACCGATATGTGCGCCAGTTCAAGTCGCCACACTCCCTCCATGTAGCACACAAAGCAACAGAAGAAAGCACAAGAAATGCATAATAGAGGGGTGAGGCAAAGGAAGAGTAATAACGAAGAACAAAACACACAGTTTCATTGGAAATCATAAGTCACAAGGAGTGGATGCATCTGAGCCAGCCGGTCATTGAGAACGATTTTGAGCCATGTCACCAATTGTTTCCAGCATGCATTGGTTTTTACCGTCCCAAAGACCCCAACCAGTCAGGAAGCCAGTCTACACCTTCCTACGTGGCTAGCTGGCTTAGACTAACTGTGGTAGATTTCATTGACTGGTGAAGCCATGTTTTGGTTTGACCACCACTGGCTAGCTTTTTTCCAGCCTGACCACTATATCCGCTAACATTGCCCGTCGGTCGAGGAAGGCGATGACTAGGCATAATACATGAGTAACACATGTCCTAACCACCTCAGTCTTTGTAACTTCACAACTTCGTCGATTGATTTTCCCCTCCTACCTTATCTAGGACTCGACCGACGCCTAACCTCAATATTGCTCACCTTATTATACCACTTAGCACACACGGGAAATAGAACGCAGACACCTATGATCAAGGACATCTAGCTAATCTTTTCATGTCTTCCACTCCCAGTGGCCAGGTTTCACAGCCTGTCATAAAGGAGGACGGGGCGGACTGATGAGTAGTACACCCGCCCTTTGGTCGATAATGTGTTATGGGTTCAGCCTTTTATTTATAGTATGGTTAATCAACACTACTGAAATATATATGCTAAATCTTTAGATAACCAGCTAGGCTAGCTAACTAACTGACTCATCCTGCCTCCTAGAAGTTGCGCATGCCTGGACCAGACAAAGTGTTATTCTAGGGGAAGAAGTGTTATGACAGTACATTAAAGGCTATTATTAACAACACTCGACTGTAAAAGTCCAGCTATGTTAACATAGCACGTTTACTAAAATAAGAAATCACTAAGCAAAAACAACATTTATTCTGACAACAGACATTTCTTTTCGAGGATAAAACATATGTTGATGACTGAAACAGATGAAAGACATAGTATCATTAACAAAATAGTACACACCGAAAAACAAACACCCTGACATTGAATTCAACTTACTAGAATAATGGGATGACAAGAAACTGTTCGATCCGCCTTCTTGTTCAGTTGATCCTTGATAATCACTGGAATAGTGTGAATTGATCAATTTATCTCGAGATTTTGATGAAGCTGTAGAGCCTTTTTTTTGTTTCCAGTTGTTTTTTGTTGATGTTGTGTACAAAGAATAAATATAGTATTTTAAATTAGTTGATAGTTAACACCAATTGAATTATATTGCACACACTAACACAATGAATAGATGATATTGATTACCAAGAAATTATTATTCTCATAGGGTTCCGAGAAGAAATGAAAGGCTTCAGGCAGCTCTCATCATCGTCATTTTCACTCTGGGTTTTGCAGTCGTCCATTTAGAGCTACCCATAAGCTTCCATTTTCTCTTCATATAGTATCCTTAGTGTAACACAAAGATATGCTCAACTGAAGGGCGCGGCGGGTGATGTCACTCAACGGTCTGATTACCGTATAATAATGTTGGGCAATAAGTAGTTTCCTTGGTTGGTTCGTCACTAGAGGAGTTCCTTGATACATATTCATTTCCGGTTGTCTGACACCTCACCGTATCAAATGAAGGGAAATGTTGCAGTAGGCTGCTAAAAAAAGGGGCTTTCGGTGACTCACGAGCCAAATTAAAGAGAACCATATAGAGAAGCACTGATTCAACCTAATAGGAAATCAGTAAATGCATTTTGTCTAACTTTATGTCAGCGTTAGATGAATTATGGAGGAGGAGGAAGAGTGTTATTTATTTAACTACCAACATTTGCATTGCACTTCAGTTGGCAACAAGACACATCTATTGAATGCATGTGAGGCATGTGCGTCAAAAGTTTGAAACCTGTGATGCAGATGATTCATGCAAATTGATTCAAATGCCTATCATTAAACTTATAGGCACAAAGTATAACAAAACTTATATATTCAACAGGAATAAGAATTATTCACATGTGGTCACAATTTGACTGTCAGTTAAAATTAATTGGTGTGTTCAAAGTGGAATGGAGAAAGGAACTCTTATAGTTACATTTCACCCCATAACTATTATGTTGTCTTACACAATAAATAGGTATTTATGAAGTGACGAACAACTACTAAGCAGTTTAGTTGATTTGCTTAAGTGCTAAATATTCAGCCTGATTAGTACCCCTAGTTTAATTCCGACTTCACCATCTTTAACCCGGGTAAAAGTATGATACTATTGTGGAGAGCAGGCTGCTGGCCAATTGGCAGACATTAATCTACGTACGTCAATGTCTGGGTCACTAATATTGGCCGTGAGAAAATATGAACAAGGCTGATTCAACAACCAATCACACACCAAACTTAACGTGGGCAAATATGATTCGTAGATAGATGGCTCCACTTTCCGATGGTTACCCGAAACAACCAATCAGAAGACTGCGTTTGTCTACTTGAAGCTATAATAATGTACAAGAAATGTATATAAATACGCGTTGATTTCCGTAATAAAAGGATCTGTTGCCGGCCCTTGTCTTCTGTTGTTACAATAGTATCAATGTTAGCTTGCTTAACACTGAGAATTAGCTGGAACAGACACTTTTTTTCCAAGTGTCAGGGACTATAAGCCCAACATATGTATTTTTGTCAATGAGTGATGATAGACACTAACCTCATATGTTCAAGCTGAACTAAGAAAAGTGAGACAGAATTTGAAATCGATAGCAGTTGCGCAAAAACCAGAGGCAACAGCAAATTTTGCATACTGCTGCTGTTTATCATTTTCATAGGTTTGTACAGAAAGTCAACTTTCTAAAATGTGAGGGGCAACGTAGGTGACTAATACCCATACATTTTTTTAAAAGATGTGTGTGTGTGTACAGCATGCCTTTTCAAAAAACACGAACAATACGAAAACTCGAAATAGTGTTGATAGCACCGTTAACCTAACTAAAGCCAACTTTGTCTTTCTTTATTCTCCTCCCTAAGATAAACACAATTTTTTTCTCAGTTATATAAACAGTGCCAATCCGATTTTGAGACAGACGAAAAAAGTAATTTATAATTCATATCTTCGAAAAGAAAAAAAATCTTCGGATAACTAAAACATTTTAAAATCTTCCCATTTTATTGTCGAATAATTACAGTGAGCTTAATCCATTAAATTACATAAGTAGTTTTTCTTGACTTCAGTCGAGAATGGTTGCTGAGTGTTCCGAATCCCCCACCCAACCCACGATCAAAGTAGTGTAGTATCATATCACAACACTCATCCATCCATCAACTCAAGTCAATGGTTTCTCTCCCATAAAGAAGGTTCAGACACTAGGATCCCGTGTGTGTATGAACAAAAAAGCAATTTCCAAAATAGGTTGCTGCTTACAGACGTTCAACTTACAACACTTTTGCTTGTCTTTCTTTTATTAACTCTATATATATGTTGAAGACAAGAAGGCCAGAGTCGGCATGTGGATCAACAACAACAACACGGGAACTCTCTGGTAAACAGTGTAAACTAGCTGAATAAGAGCGCTTGTGGTTAGGTAGTAGGTGGTGGTAGGACCAGATGAAGGTCTGTCTTTCTGTCTGTTTTCGACATAGAACTTTGCACCGATATGTGCGCCAGTTCAAGTCGCCACACTCCCTCCATGTAGCACACAAAGCAACAGAAGAAAGCACAAGAAATGCATAATAGAGGGGTGAGGCAAAGGAAGAGTAATAACGAAGAACAAAACACACAGTTTCATTGGAAATCATAAGTCACAAGGAGTGGATGCATCTGAGCCAGCCGGTCATTGAGAACGATTTTGAGCCATGTCACCAATTGTTTCCAGCATGCATTGGTTTTTACCGTCCCAAAGACCCCAACCAGTCAGGAAGCCAGTCTACACCTTCCTACGTGGCTAGCTGGCTTAGACTAACTGTGGTAGATTTCATTGACTGGTGAAGCCATGTTTTGGTTTGACCACCACTGGCTAGCTTTTTTCCAGCCTGACCACTATATCCGCTAACATTGCCCGTCGGTCGAGGAAGGCGATGACTAGGCATAATACATGAGTAACACATGTCCTAACCACCTCAGTCTTTGTAACTTCACAACTTCGTCGATTGATTTTCCCCTCCTACCTTATCTAGGACTCGACCGACGCCTAACCTCAATATTGCTCACCTTATTATACCACTTAGCACACACGGGAAATAGAACCAGATGAAGGGTAGTCTGTCTGTCTGTTTTCGACATAGAAATCTGCACATATGTGCGGAAGTTCAAGTCGCCACACTCTCTTCATGTAGCACACAAAGGAAGAGAAGAAAGTACAAGAAAAGCATTATAGAGACAGTGAGCAGAGGTGTGAGACAAAGGAGTAATAACGAAGGACAAAACAGTTTCATTGGAGATCATAAGTCACAAGGAGTGGATGCATCTGCGCCACTGAGAACGTTTTTGAGCCATGTCACCAATTGTTTCCAACCATAGATTTTTACCGTCCCAAGGACGCAAGCCTGGAAGTCTACACCTTCCTACGTGGCTTAGACCAACTGTTGTGGATTTCATTGACTGGTGAGGCCAAGTTTTTGTTTGACCGCCGCTAGCTTTTTTCCAGCCTGACCCTATATCCGCTGACATTGCTCGTCGAGGAAGGCGATGACTTGGCATACGTAACGCATGTCCTAACGATGAAGGGTAGTAGTTGCACAGGGGGTAATTATTATTATGTAAAAAAAAGAGAGAGAATAATACACAAGAGTTATCTCAGTTCTCTCTTTATCATACTTACCTCTATGTCTTCTTGGTCGTCCACCGCGAAGACCACCACCAACACCCATACCTCTTTCTTCACCAATTGGTACAACTAATCGTGCAGCAGATGCAGATATTGGATTCTGTGGTGTATAACCTGAATGTTGACTATGATAATGATAGCGTAATCCAGCTGTAGATCGATATCTCGATGAGCAGACTTCACAAATAAAAAATGTGACTGTAGTAGTAGTAGTAGTAGTAGTAGCAGCAGCAGCAACAACAGCTGTTGTTGTCTGCTGAGGATTGACAATCGTCTGTAAATCACCAACTACTACTCGTCCATTATTATTATTATTATTATTATTACTGTTATTATTAGTGTCATTAATGCTGAAAGTGAGATGGCTCACAGTGCTTATTGAATTATTATTATTATTACCAGATGTTGTACTACTACTATTATTATGTGAATAATCGGCAATCACTGGAAGTGGAAGTGAACTGCCTCGATTCATTGATACATCGATACAATTATTATTATTATTATTATTATTATTATTATTATCTATACAACTGTCCGATTGCCTAGACATATTCCCACGATGAAATTCACCGATAGGCATGATAAGATATTCATTATTATTGTTGTTGTTGCTGTTGTTCGTCGAAGGAGGACGAGGATCTGAACACCGGTGTAAAAAATATCCCGTGTTTAATTCTTCCATTGTCTGAGTTGAATCTATTGATGGAGACGACGACGACAACAACAATGACGATGATGATGGTACAATACATGAAGATGATACTGATGACAAATTCATATTCATTGATGTTGATGTGTGTGAAGATAATGAACTCATATTTGACTGATTTGCAAATGAGGTGTTAGACCAATTCATTGGTGTAACACAAGATTGAATGAATTTCGTCTGAGATAACACCACAGGGGAACTACTACTACTGAAACACTCAGGAAAACAATGATTCGATAAGTTCACTGCATATATTGACGATGAAGGATGATGCTGATAAGGCGGAGGAAGTGTACTAGGAGGAGGATAGGATGAATGTGTTGATGAAAATGAAGATGAAGCAGAATAAGTATTATTTTTTAAAGCATTGAATTGATCACTAGAAGAATGACAATCGACGAAGGTCTGAGAATCACGACACTTGTCATGTACCACCACCAGGGATGGAGCATTCAATTGATAACCTGGTTCATCATTGTCGACAATATCATCCCAAGGATCTTCTGCTTTTTTTTAGTTATCATGTAACAAAAACGCGATGAAGGGAATAATATAAGTTAGGCGAAAAATAATAGGAATAAGAATAATGAATGAGCTACAAATTAGAATTCGGGATTTCTGAGATTATTTTTATCAGTATCACATTATTATTATTATTTTCTTTTAAAAGAAACACTTTAATTAATCAACATTGAACAAAAACTCTTCATGAAACGTATAAACACATATAGAAACAAACAAACAAACAACATGTATATTTAACTCACTTCAACTACACACATACCCATCTCTATATGTTTTAGACTTTGAAATTTATATAAGATTATATATATCAAACATGGAGGAATGTTTAAAGCAAAAAATATTACACAGTATATAATAATAACAAAGCAAGATTAGTATTCGAGTGTGGTGTATAAAAATGACTGCTTTAAATGGCATGAGGGATATAACTGACTTGAAAAAACCAATCGTCAGTAGCAGTAGTACGGTCAGCAACACTCTAGTCAACTATTAGGACATAAACTCGCCAAGTAAAAATCGACACCCGGTAGTTGATTCACACATATGTTGTCGAGAATTTCTAAGATTTTATAACACGAAAAAAAACTGCCAGTAGACACCAATCCTGGAAGGAGAAAAATCCTGATCGCGATCAAAACTACTGAAGTCTAGGAAGGCAGCAGGCCCAGATGGAATTCCCTCCTCCCAACCCTCTAAAGCATTGCAGATGTACACTCACGCCATTATTGTAAAAGTTTTGGAAAGAAGGAAAGGTACCTACCGAGATAGGAAGAAAGGCTGTTCAAGAAAGGAAGGGCAACCTAGGCGTCTGCAAGAAAACTGGTGTGGATTATAATGCTCTTGCGCCCACGCCAACTAAAATACTCAGTCACATCATCATCCTGGAAGGAGAATAAAGGATGCACTGGATACAGAACTCCACCCAACTGGAACACAAGCAGGATTCAAGATAAGAAAATCAATCATGTGCTGATCAAATTGCAGCTCTACATATCGTGTCATCGCACAAAGTACAGGGTGGCAGTCAAACTTCTACCACTACTTCATCGATTTCGAAATGGGGCTACGACAGCATTGACCGAGACATAATTTGGAAAATACTTCAACACCATGAGGTACCTAAAGTCTCTCTGTCAACCTCATTCAACAGCTCGCTATATAAGAATGACAATGCCACGTGTCAGCAACAACAACAACAACAACCAGGATCAGTCACCACCAACGAGAGAGACTTAAGAGAGGTCACCTCCTTCACTTATCCAGCTGGGAAGCATCGTACCAACTACAGGTGAGCAGGCGGGTGGGCGGTCAGGACGGATGAAGATGTCAAAGTCACAATTGGAGAGGCAAGAGATACGCCTTCATCAACCTGTCTGTCTGGATTCAACATAGAACTTGGCACCGAAGTGCAGCAGTTCGAGTTGCCACGTTTCAAATAGCACACAAAGGTAGACAAGAAGATGAGTGAAGAGAATCAATAGAGTTTGACAAGTATAAGAGTGAAACAGTATGGGTAATGGTAGAAAGGAATATGAAAGATTACAGAGACTGAATACATCTGCGCTGGCCATTGACAACGATCACTTTGAGCCATGTCACGTATTGTCTCCAGCCATTGATTCCTAGAGTCCCGAGGGCCCCAACCCAGGAGTCTACATCTCCCTACCTGACTCAGTTTAACTGTTAAGGATTTCATGGATTGATGCCGTCATGTTTTTGTTTGGCCACCACTGGCTCTTTTCCAACCTTCACCTATATCAGCTAGCAATGCCCGTCGGGGGAGGCGGTGGTTAGGCATGCGCAGCACGTGACCTAGCCATCTTAGTCTATGTAACTTTATAGCCTCATCGATTGATTTTCCCTCTTTGCCCAACACTCTACGCCTAACGTCAACACTACTTACCTTATTGAACCACCTAACGTGAGACAGAGATCGCAGACATCTATGATCGAAAGCAGTCAACCTTTTCATGTCTTCAACTTGTATTGGCCATGTTTCAGAGCCATAGAGAAGGACGGAGCGAACTGCTGAGCAGTACACACGTCCCTTGGTTGGTTGATAGCCGGATGTCACGCCTACGCCAGAGATGGTGTAAGTCAGCGAAAGCAGCTCGAGCTTTCGCTGACCTGAAAAACCAGTTTGGAAATCTTTCACATTCACAGCATAAGGAACAAGATTCGCATTTTCAACACGCCAATGTCAAGTCGGTCAGTGATTCTATACGAGTCAGAAACTTGCAGCACTGTGTTGTGTTTCACGAAAAGGATTTCCAACAGCCTGATGCAAACTCTCATCAACAGCTGCCTTCCTTGGCTCCATACTCAAAAATCAAATGGCCGGCCAGAAAGAATAAGCAACAAGAAACTCTGGGTAACAAACCGACGACAGGCAAGAGCCGATTGCTCAACGAATGAATTTGTGTAGGAGAAAATGGACATGGATAGAGCATAACATTGAAAGGGGCCGTTGAATGACATTGCACGCCAGGCCATTGCTCGAGTGGATTCCAAATGGGAAGCGAAGAATGGGTCGTCGTCCTAGGGTGACATGGAGGAGATGAGAAATTATGGACAATCGTCGACTCAGCTGAATAGGATCGTAGAGAGTAGAAGAAAGTGGAGAGAGGTGTTGCTGAAGCCGCCCCATGTTCTACTAGGAATCCAAGGGAATAATAATAACAATGATTGATATTGTTATAATTTTAATAATAATAATTAGAATAACCTGAATATTATCCTACATTCAGTCGATGGTGTCAGCGTGTGTCAAACAGTAGGATGAACACTAGTAACTTTGTAGGTTTTAATCTCGTTATTTCTTCATCCACCTGATGTGTTATATTAGTTCATGATGTGTAGCAATTAAAAGAATATACTGGTGATTGTGAAAATGCTCACAAGAAAAACTATTTAATTTTAGACAACCGACCGGCCGACTTTAAATACAGTCAGTCATATGAACACTACTTCACACAACACGTGTTTTTGAAAGCAGTTTTTTTGCAATAGGTCTTGTGCACCCGCCGTTACACAGGAAACAACTCACACAATTAATTGTGTGACGGTGTGGATGATATAGAACCCAGGCTGCAACACAGATTGGCCGAAGGGGGGGCTGGGGGCGGGAGGATTCAAATGGCATTATCCAATGGTGGTCGAGGTTATTTTTGTTATTCAGCCACAGCAAAATAGTGGTCAGCTATATATCGTTGTAATTTGGAAAATCTGCAGATGATTGACTATACACCACCACCACCAGCGGACGAACTGAAAACCATCACACATCCATGACATTATGCACGTTATATCACTCAACCTTATATTGGAGAACACTATGGAATTGATTATTAGGAAAAAAGGAATGTTAACCAACACATGACACACACTTTTATAAAGGGATTCACACATCTGCACGCACACACACACACACACAAACAAACAAAGGAATCGTGTAACACTCTCTTTTTTAACAGTAAACAAGATAAAACATGAAAGTTTGAAAAATTGTGTAAAATTGATATAAGAATAAAACTTGTGCACTGTGGTAGAGTATAATTCCATTATGGGTAAATTTTTGTTTTGATAAAGTCTCACAGTGTTATACAGTAATGTTTACTGATGACGTTTCGAGCACAACTTATTACTTTTGATGTGGCTTTGTTCTCTGAGCTGGATAGTTAGTTTGTGAAGCTTTCATCACCTTACTGGGTGACATCTTCAGCGCATACTTCAAATTGAAGTATGCGCTGAAGATGTCACCCAGTAGGGCGATGAAAGCTTCGCAAGCTAACCATCCAGCTCAGAGAACAAAACCAAATCAAAATTATCCACCTGAGCTACAAATCTTCTCTATCATATCTACAACTTATTACTGCTCATAATCATATCAAGGTACTCACACGACTTCCTAACTTCATTTATATAGTTCCATTATTTTCCACTTGATTTGATTGGCAGTAGTTTTTCCATATTTCAGGTATGAGTGATGACTCATTCCTATTGCATGTGTTTGGTGTAGAGTCGATGAACAAGAATTCAGTAATCAACCTCTCTCTCCACCTATTTAGATTTTTTTTATTTCCTTCACGTTCCCAGTGGACTATAGGGCTCAAAGCTGGGGCTTGAAGTTTCTGTAGCAGTGGTGATTATTTTTACAGGATGAGGTTGCTAGCCTCATGCCTAACCTTCCCTCTTTACCAGAATTATTTCTGGCTTAGACAGGTAAAGGTGTGCGTCGCGCGGGGATCGAACCCAGGACCATGTGCATGGTCGGCGAGCATGCTAAACGCTGTGCCACCGACACAGCACCTATTTAGATTACTTTTTAGAATTTTAACCCTCTCCTACCCTATTGTGTGGTTGTGTGTTAATGCATGCAGTGCAATAGCTGAGCTTTTTTCTAAATTACTTATCTTTTCAGTGTCAACCATTCTTACCTTAGTTAAATTCTTATGTTTCGACAATATGACTACCCTTGACCTACTAGTGTGACCTCACAGTCATTGCATGGTATTTTGTAAGTTATATTATTTTTTATAATGGGGTCAACTGGGTCCTTTAACCTACAGAGCTTGTCCTACCTGAGTGAGTTTGTAGATTTAAATGCCACCCTAATTCCTGCTTTATTTAGAATCCTACGTAGGGTCTCATATGTCCCCTCTTTATATGGTATAACTGTAGATGACTCTCTTATTTATGTTATTATTACTAGTTTCACAATTATTTTTATTTTGCTTTTGGCCTTTATCGATCTTCCTGATGAATTTTAAAGGATAGTTATTTAACTTCAAAGCCTCTTCTATCTGTTTCAGTTCATCATTTAGGTCTTTTTGTGGTACTTAATGCCACTGCTCGGTTTGTTAAACACTTAACTAAGCTTGCCTTAACAATTAACGGATGAGATGAATTAAAGTCTAAATATCTTTTAGAATGCGTTGGTTTTCTGTACACACCAATGTGTAGTTTGCCTTCTTCTATT